CTTCTGTTGCTGGTGAAGTGAAAATATATTAACTGTTGATTTTAACTTGGAACATTACGAGTCTGTTTGTGTGGAAGTGAATTCACTCGGTTCATGTTTCATCTTCAGGCTGTTTTAAGGACGACCGCATCGTGTTCTGGACCTGGATGTTCTCCACCTACTTCATGGAGAAGTTGGCTCCTCGTCAGGACGACATGTTGTTCTACGTCCGCAGGAAACTTTCCTACGTCAGCACCGACAACGCCGACGGCAAAAAGGTGACGAGACGACTTAATGAGAATGAAAACAGATTCTGACAAACAGAAGAAACAGATTCATCGAGTCAAAGTTCAACTTGTACGATTTAAAATATAAGAAACAAATCATTCAGAATTATTTGACAGATTTAAATTAGATTGAAATTGTAGATGATGTAACCGAGGACGTCACGTGTCCCCAGAGTTTTTGTGGCTACGCCCCTCTTCCTCCTCTTCCTCCTCCTCCTCCTCCTCTTCCTCCTCCTCCTCCTGCTCCTCCTCTTCCTCCTCCTCCTCTTCCTCCTCCTCCTCCTCCTCCTCTTCCTCCTCCTCCTCCTGCTCCTCCTCCTCCTCCTCCTCCTCCTCCTCCTCCTCCTCCTCCTCCTCTTCCTCCTCCTCCTCCTCCTCCTCCTCCTCCTCCTCTCCCTCGTCTCTTTCTAATCACATCTTCTGAACAGCTCTCGTCTGCCTTTTGTCCTACATCTGTCCCTGGTCGCCATGGTTACACATTGTTCTGTGTCCAGGTTGGTTAAACACCCCCCCCTCCCCCATCATCATCATCTTCATCTCTTATTGTTCAGGTACAGATCAGATGAAGGATATTTCCCATCGTGCACATTCATATTTTAACAGTGTTACCGTGGCAACCAGCCCTGTGCTCTTACACGGCTTGTGAGTGATATGAATCTCGACGTGTGGCGACTTCCTGTCTTCTCCCCGCAGACGTTTAACCTCTGAACAGAGTCGAGGAGAGGACGGAGAAAAAGACGAAGTTAAAGTGATTTTAGTCTCCGACCGAGGACACGCACACGCACACACACACATGCACGCACACACATGCACACGCACACACTATATGAACAAACATTTAAGATCTGATGTTGGAGATGAAGTTTAACTTCCGACGAACTGAAACATATTTGTTTTTACAAGATAAGACGGTTTTGGGACGTAGGGGGCGCCACTGAGTTAATGGAGGAGCTTCTGTTACAGTCTGACCTGAGTCTGACCTGCCGCCTCCTCCATGTTGCTGACGCTCACCTGTTCCGACAGGTGACCTCCACAGTCCTGCTTCCTGTTCGCCGACCCGTCGGTTTCCATTCACGCATGATTCAGTCGTTCATCGGTATCGTCCCCGCTCGCCCGCAGCTCAGCCAATCACGTGAGGTACAGGAGCGTCAGTTGTGTGTCATGTTGTCGTCTTCTGTCTCTGGTTGTGACGTCCAGGTGGAGGTGGAGGTCTACAGGAGGGACTCCAAGAAGCTGCCCGGCCTCGGTGACCCCGACATTGACTGGGAGGAGAGCGTCTACCTGAACCTCATCCTGCAGAAGGTGAAACATCAACCCGCCCCCCCCACGTCTGATCCTCAAACAGATGTTCTCAACACATGTGGACGCTACAGTTTCCAGATGTTCCCTAAACGTCTGTCTGATCTGTGTCCTCCAGCTGGACTACGTGGTGACCTGCGCCGTCTGCACGCGCTCAGACGCAGGAGATATTCACATCCACAGGAAGAAATGTCAGGTGAGACACGCCCACGGCTGAGACTCATCACGTCTCACAGCGGCTTCCATCTTTATTCTCTTACTTCCTCCTCCCACAGGAAGTGTTTGCATCTCCCAGCAAACACGCTATGGACAGTAAAGGGGAGGAGTCAAAGATGAGCTACCCGAACATCTTCTTCATGATCGACAACTTTGAGGAGGTAACGGCTTTTTGTTTTGTGTCCTGTACTGCAGCCAGCCACCAGGGGGCGACGGAGAGGATTTGGTGTCACCTGCGCTGTTTGTTCTGTGTGACGCACGTTTTCCTCCTGAGAATGAAAATATAAAAGTTAAATTGGTTCTAAAACGTGAACGTGTGTAAAACGTTTTGGACGTGAGTGTGTCGATGGCGTCGATGCTGCAGCTTTAACGAGCTCAAGCTGTTTCACTTCATCCTGCACTGAAACCTGCTTCTACCGCTCGACTCAAAGATTCAACGATTTCTCTCCAGGGAGGAAATCAAGACGTCAGCTCGATAACTTCCTGTTCCGTTCGTCCCCACAAACACAGGAAGCTCCGAGAACTTTTAAATTTCCCCGTTGAAGGTTGATGCGGTGAAATGGCGGCAGTGACGGTTCTGATGGATTCTCTGACGCAGGTGTTCAGCGACATGACGGTGGGCGAGGGCGAGATGGTCTGTGTGGAGCTGGTGGCGAGCGACAAGAGCAACACGTTCCAGGGCGTCATCTTCCAGGGCTCGATCCGCTACGAGGCGCTGAAGAAGGTCTACGACAACCGGGTGAGGAAGTTCTGCTCCTGTCGTCTGAACCTGTGGCTGCGCTTCAGCTCGTTAACATGAGACGGAAGCTAGTCGCCATTAAATCTGATCACGTGTGTCCGGAAACATTTCTCCGTGTGTCTCCCCCCCCCCCCCCCCGTAGGTGAGCGTCGCTGCTAAGATGGCCCAGCGGATGTCGTTCGGCTTCTACAAGTACAACAACATGGAGTTTGTGAGGATGAAGGGTCCGCAGGGCAAAGGTCACGCGGAGATGGCGGTCAGCAGAGTCCCGACAGGAGACACCTCCCCCTGCGGCACCGAGGAGGATCAGGTGTCCCCCGTGCACGAGAGGGTGAGGACAAAAAAAACTTCAGAATTCTGTCTCTCTGTCTCATTATGTAAGAAATTAAATTGTTTGAATTGGTTTTAAATCACATTTGAGGCAGTTTCAGTGAAAAGTTCTACAACCGTCTGAAAACAGGAACTCCAAACTTCCCTACGTTATATTTTCATCGAGGTGGAGAAGTCCCGACCAGTTTAGTTTCACTTCCTCTCGTCTGATTCGACGAAGCAGAAGAGAAACGTCTGCGGCTCAGAGACTCGAACGCGACTCAGAGGACGAGATGAAATCAGGTCACGATCAATAATAAATGAAGCTGCGCTGGATTATTCATCGTTTCTCAGTTTGAACTCCAGATGTGAGTCACAGACGCAGATTCTCAGACTGATGGGGAATTTGTTACCAAGGTTACAAGTCAGCGGGTCGCTGAAAACACTTCTCGTGTGTGAGATGGACACGTGTCACACACGTGTCACAGCTCCAGTTACAGACTGAAGTAAAAGTACCTCTACACCTGTGTACAGTTACTGATGAAACACTTTGTAACTTCACCATAAACCTGATCTCTTGCGTCCGTGTGTTTCCGTGTCTGTCCACCAGGTGACGTCCTTCAGCACCCCCCCCACCCCGGAGAGGAACCGCCCCTCCTTCTTCTCGCCGTCTCTGAGACGAAAGGTTCCGAGGAACCGAATCGCTGAGATGAAGAAATCTCACTCGGCCAACGACAGCGAGGAATTCTTCAGGGAGGAGGAAGACGAAGGTCCGAAATCATGGAAACTAAAACACATGAGATTAATTCAGTGATTAAATAAAATGGATCAAATGTCTCGACTCTGTTTCCTCAGATCTTCACACGACCACGAACCTTCGCTCTCGCTCGCTCTCGGGCACCGGTCGCTCGCTCGTCGGCTCCTGGCTCAAACTGAACCGGACCGAGGATTACTTCCTGTTGTACTCACACCTGACGTACGTCACGCTGCCGCTGCACCGCATCACCACGGGTGAGAGGAAGACACGTTGTTTTTCTATCGGATCAAATTCAATCTGTAAAACTAACACGTTAATGTTTTAAATCCATTTCACTGCAACGATCAAACATGTTTCAAAGATATTATATAGAAATGTGTCAATTATGAACAAACACTCGGACAAACGGAAAAATTTAAAGTTGATTGAAAGTTTTATTTTTGTAGTTTTAATTTTGAGGATGTCGTACAGGCAGGAAGTGACATTTAGTCTGAACCTTCAGGGGCTGATGGGAAATGTGGTTTGTTAAAAGATTATTCTGTGTGTGTGTGTGTGTGTGTGTGTGTGTGTCAGACATCTTGGAGGTGCGGCAGAAGCCGATCCTGATGACGTAGCGGCGGCCGGTTGAGACTCTAAAGTGCCTCCTGCATCAGGCTCCAGAGACACAGCAGCGCCCTCCGGTGTCCAGACAGAGACACCACACACACCTGCTTCAGCCGGAGG